TTTGTCACTGCCGGTGTCGCTATCATATTGCTCGGCGCAATTGTCGCGTACAAAGCAATTAGCGGGAATGCCCGAGAAAAAAGCCGTGAGACCGCGAGAAGCGACGACAATCGCGTCTGCGAACCTCTGATGTGTCAGCTGCGATACCGAGAATTTTTTGCTTCCTTTTATTTTTATCGCGCGCCTTGAATTTTTAACGAATTAATTTTTTCATCGGATATTCTCGATTCTCGACGATTTCTATTTTCAAAACATTCTCAAAATAAACTTTTAGAGTCTACGCACATGTAAGTATTATACACAGTATTTTTAATTTGTTTTTTATTTTTTATAATATAAAATACTCTTTATATTATAAAATTATAAACTAATTTTTTTAGTTTTTATATTAAAAATATTGTAAAAATTGTTTATATTAAATATTTATTAATATGCGCGCGCAATTCTTCAATAAATCAAATTGATGAGTGCTGACAAAAGTTACAAGGATAGACGTATAAAATAAGAGAGCAATTAAAAGTACGAGTGAAACGAATTATCTGCACAATAAGTGCTTGCCTCGCAGAAAAAGAGAAACGCCGACCGAATAATTGCTTTTATTCGGTGATATCGGGGGCGAGAGCAACGATTATTTAATTCTTTGCTGTGGAAATGACGGTGGTATCGATCGCAGACGAGATTTCGCTGGACTTTGGTTTCGCAGTCGAGGTTTTTCGCATCGCGATTAGTTACTTTCGATATCGAACATTCCGACACGAGACAATCAGAAATTGACATTCAGACAATTGACACGGAGAATTGTCGTTTTGTCAATCTGCAGATATTTTAAAATTAAAGATTTTGTAAAAAAATCACAATATATATATCGATGAAAACTCATTAATTTAATTATTTCAAATAATTTAAAGAAGATATAACACTTCTTTAATCTATATAAGATAAAAATGGAGACAATATATTTTTATAAAGTAAGAAAGATAAAATAAAACAATTATTTAGAATGTAATTATAATTATCTAGATATAGATATAGATGTAAATATAATTATCTAGATATTTTCATTGAAATAATAGAAAATTGAGCGCAATATATAGCAATTTAGAACTCGATTTCCAAATGCAACAAGATTGTGCCGATGTTGCTTTATGTATTAATATACATATGCTGACTATCGCATTCGGAGAACTATATAATACCTTCGAAGGAATTTTTATCCATCCAACAAATTTATTGTTATTTTTATCGCGCATAATAGAAGATATGGGAACAAGTTTTCGAACTCTACTATGTTTGTAAAGTATAAATATTCGTTTATGATCGCGCGCGAAAGCTTCCTGCTTGTGGAAGCTTCGGTAATCTTCCTTGATTCTGAGCTCACGCGATAGACTAGAAACGATTATCGTGTATTTGCATTTCGCCGATACACTTTATCCGCGCCTAGAAGCTATATGCGGTATTCTCGTTCAACTTCCCTCGACTCAAAGTTTGTATATAAATAGAAGTTTATGTATCTCGGATAAAAAAATTGCATATAATAAAAGTATATGAAAGAAAAAATTGGAAATAAATTATAACAAAGTTTTACATTTTTTTTCGAATTAAAATTTTTTCTATTTTATGTATATCTCTAACTTTATAGAAAAATTTGAGCTATTGTTACACGTAGTATATATCCATTATAAATTTCTTCGAATAATTTCTGTAGTCTAATTTTTTCCCATGATAAGACTTTTGTAATAAAAATTACGAACCTAACGAGCAATAATTGCGAGTATGAAATATTGGTCGAAATACGGTATACCCTGGCTGTTTTTAGACTCTATTATTACCGCCGTATGTGCGTCACCTCGTTTTCATTCAAGTCGTCGCGACACGCGAGAACGAGATCGAAATGTGACATATAAAATGAGAAGGCAAAGAAATTCGCGCGCGCTCGTGCAACAGAGAGCGAATTTAGACGAGTGAATTTTCGCGTTGCGCCACACCGCGTCGTCGTCGTTCTATATTTATATCGCGTGGACAGGTACACGCGAGCCGACACGCCGACGATTTATCCGATAGCAAACATTGGCGCCGTTACGTCGTTAGACGTATATCGGCATTATGCGGTAACGCGCACGCATCGTTTTTTTTTCGGAGCACAAGCACGGACGAATTAAATTTTCTCGTTCAAATTTAAAAAATTCATTTAAATGACAGAAAGCTACACAGAGAGAATTTTTTCCCTTAGAATTTATCCCCAAATTTTATCATGAAAATCATAATAATCGTGGGACAATATGGTATTGAAAAAATTTTATAAGTTTCTCTAATTAATATTTTTACTACATTAAAAAATATTAATATATTCGATTAATTTTATTATGTACCTACATATTAATATTTTTATTGTCTCACGATTACCATGATTTTCAGGGTAAAGAAAATTCTCTCTGTGTATTTTATATTTTTCCAACAAGTACAAATATAAAAAAAAAATTCAAATTTATGCATTACTATTAATTATACATATATATAGTTATGTAATTAATTCATTGCCAAATAGATGCATTATTTTATTAATTAAGTATATGTATAATTATATACATATATATTTATATAATTAATAAAATAATAATACATCTGCCTGAATTAATTGCACATAAAATTATATAATTAATAAAATAATAACGCATCTATCTGAATTTATTTGTACTTTAAAAAATTTAAAGAAGTTTTTAATGCAATCTTTTGTATATGTGTATATGCAACGTACGTGTCATCGTTCTTACACTTGTATACTGTTGTGGAGGAAACGCAACCCAACACATACGAGACGCACCCTCTTTCTCCTCCTCGTCGACGTGTCAATTTAACGGCTTCCTGCTCTGGCATCGAGTTTCGCAGTGCACGCACGTTTATCGACCGAAATGTTCCGCGTCTCTTTGGTATCAAATGCGTGAGTGGTTAAAAGGAGATACAATTGCAACAGTATAAATAGTAAAATAGTAAATAAAGTGGACGGCTGATAAAGAGCGGCTATAGCATTATAAAGTGAAAACACACGTATCAATATTTTCAAAGAATAAAGTATTGATAATATATACACAGAGATAATTTTCTCTTAGAATTTACCCTGAAAATCATGGTAATATTGAAAGAATTTTAGAAGAGTTTCTCTAATTAATATTTACAATAATAAAAATATTAATACCTATCACAATAAAATATAAACTATGTACGTAGTAAATTTTACTATGTACATATTATATTTTTTATTGTGGTAAATATTAATCAGAGAAACTCTTATAAGATTCTTCCAATAACCATATTGTCGCATGATTACCATGATTTTCAGGATAAATTTTAAGAGAAAATTCTCTCCGTGTATTTTGTTTATCTAATTCTCTGACATTCGTTCACTCTAATTCTGAAATGCTTCCCATTAGAAATTTAGACTTTTTATTCTAAGTTCGCGTATTCCTCGATGTTTTCCTCTATACTAACAATAAGAAAAAATCCAATTCATCAACTGTTAAATATAATTAAATATAATTTTAATCGCTCCCTGTAATAATCGCAAAACTTTGCTTCCGTGAGAATCTATGCGTAAAATAAAAAATTTAATGATAAATAACGGTTCAATAATATTTGCTTCGATTTTTTTTGCCTCGAGGCGACAGCGTTTTAATAATTGTTCTTCTCTCTTCCGTAATTACGTCTAATTGATGGGACCGGAGTGTATATTGAAATTCGTCGGCTATGATAAAATCTACGTAGCGTTTAATTGAACGCGAAACGAAAAGCTTCAAAGCGTCCGGTTCGAGGACTCTTTGCGATACTCTTGGTTTGCATCGAAGCGTATCCGTGCGACGTCTCTCCTCTTTCTCCTCTCTTGAACTTTCACGTCTCTTGTCGAAGGTAAAAAAAAAATATATATATATATATATGTCCACGTTCGCGCGCAGCCAACCGGCAATTAACTTATCGCCGGTGAAATTTTGCTATCGGCGATCAAGCATCGAGTGCAAAATAGTACTAGTAGTAGTTGTGTCGCGACAATGCAATTTCGATATCGATGTATTGTATTGAATATTTTTTCGACGTATTGTATGTTATTTTTTCCGACATATTATTGTTATACATGTATATACGTATATGTATATACAATATAATAATACAATATCTCTTTTGCACGCTTCGTCCGCGAGCATATTTCGCTATCGGCGCGGGTTATCTCCTAGCCTCTAGCATTTTTCTATATGCGTCATACACTCCCTCGTATATATACCTATGCATATATTCCTGCCGTCAGAAATTCTATACAGCTATAACGAACGCCCGCACCGCGCGATATACTGTTGAAGAGTATCGTCGTATAGAATTTCCTATATTACGCATATGACATCACGCATATAATAACGCAAGCGTATGAAAAACACACCGTATCTTTTTGGTAAATAACTCACACGGTCGATGAAAAAAAAAAAATTATATACTTTGATAAATTTATATTAGTTATGGAAAAGGATCGACAATTTTATTTTTAATAATTTTCTATAAAAGAGATCTCCCTATAATTTCAAATAAAAAAACAAAATCGAAAGAGACTAAAATACACATTATCATAATAAAAAAATATTTATAAAATTTGGCGTTATTATATGTGTTTATTATTTTATCTTGAATTCTGATTAATCGCTTTAATTTAATTCGTATTCTTGTGCTTACTCAGAGACACAATTTTCTCTTAGAATTTACCCTGAAAATTATAAAAATCGTGGGACAAAAATATGGTATTAATATTTACACAATAAAAAAATATTAATATCCACAATAAGATATAAAAAAATGTTCGATTAATTTTACTATGTACATATTAATATTTTTTATTGTGGTAAATATTAATTAAAAAACTCGTTATAAAATTTTTCTAATATCATATTATTCCGCACGATTACATGATTTTCAGATTAAATTCTACGAGGAAATTTTTATTTAACATCTTCGTTCAACAGTACCTGGAAAGACATCCTTGGTGTCGGGAGTGTAAGGATGGATCCAGCCGTTCCTCTGCTGTATGATGCACTGGAACATGATGCCGAATTTGTCTTCTTATCCGTGGCGAGAAAAATCTTCCAAAATACGTCTTCGTCTCTTTCGAACCGAGACAAGCGTTTCTTCTTTTATCGCACTCAACTATCGATTACGCGATCTCGATCGATCTCCCGCTCTTCCGGTTCACCATTTTGTGTCTCTCCTCAAGAATTCTTTCGTTGTATCTTTCGAAGGATTGCGTTGAATTAAATTCGAAGCACGAGGAAGCATCTTCTGGGTAAGAAAGAGGATATCGGATTTTCTTCTTTCCAAGAGGTGGATATATCGATCTTCCGATATATACCTGATCTCTCTCTCTCTCTCTTTCTCTGCTTACATCTCGTCTCTCACGTCACGCTGTTGCGGGAATAAAGGGGCGGTCGGTTAAGCGCGTTTTATACCTTATGAAGGTCGTGTAACTCTATGGACGCAGCTCCGTTGCGAGTCGTTGAACCGCACGACGGCGTTCCATCGAAGGCCAGCGCCGTCGATGCCGCCGTCCCTAGGACGATCCTGTCTGCGAGATGCTGCGAACCGCGACGGCGGTCCAGGCTCATCTTCCTTGCGCGCGAATATATAATCTTCCTCTCCGCCTTTTATTCGCCTCCACTCCTTCTCGTCCGATCGAATCGTCGATCTCGTTCCTCCAGAAGAGAAGAAGGCTGCTGCCCTTTCGTTATCCTTCTCTCTTCCTGGCTCTCACAGAGCCTATATGTGCACTCTTTCCCTTCCTCGAAAGCCTCCCCCTCTCCTTTTCCCCTTTCTTCACGGATTGATTCCTCGATCAAACAATTCCGTCCCTTCTTCCTTTCTCTTCGATCTTCCTTTGATGTCTATTTTAATTATTATTCTTTCATATTTTTATTGCAATTTTATTTCCTCGTCGAGGCACTCTCGAGTCTAACAAGATCGAGTGACTAATTAGCGACAAAGTAGCACATTTAGTTATGCAATTTGATGCAATGTCGGGAGTTAAAATAAAGTTTCTTTTATCCCACACGTTTTACGTCGTTAAAAATAAATATAATATATTTCTCACACATGTATACAGAGCGGACTGATTTCCTTTCCCACTTCCGTCGACGGTGAATTCGTGCGACAGGAACGTCGACGGTGTTCCCGTCTATTCTCTCTGCTCTTGGCGAAGACACTATTATTACGCCCGTAATTTCGTTGTTGCGGCGAAAACGACGCCGGGCCGAGGAGTTTCCTCCCGCTTTTGTTACGGCCGAAGGACACCACCTGTGCGCGCAGCCCAGCGAGAGATGCGCTGGGACGACGTCCTTGGGAAACGCACTCGCAGCTCTGCACACGTCCTCTCAGCAAGGGGCGAGAAAGAGGCGCGAGGGCGTGATATTCGCAATTTCCCACACGGACACACATTCATGCACACACACACACATGTAGCGCGCTGTCACACGTCCAAGTGACAGATCAAAGAGAACTCTCGAACTCTCGTCCTTCGGAACTCGCGCACAACCAGAGGAGAATGATAATAATAATAATATATCGGATCGTTCCTGCTCTTCGCGCTTTTCTGAACTTTTCCGGAAACGACGCGTCGACAATGGGATCCGCGAGATCTCGATACCGGAAGTCGGCGTCCCACGCAACCGACGAGAGAGATCCTTTTTTTCTGTCTCTCTCACGAGGAAGAGGAAACGAGAAACGCGGAGCCGAACCCGACGGTGTCGTCGCTCCTGCGACGTCTACGACGACGACGACGACGACGACGAGGAGAAGAGACCGGAGAGGAGGGTGGCTGGTCGGGTGGCTGGCTGGGATCGAACTAGATGGCTCGTCGCCAGGCAACCAGATTTTCCCTCTCGGTCTCTCGCGCGCGCGAGTGCGCTCTCTCCCCCCTCCCGATCCCCTTTCCTGGCCCGGTCGCCTCGCTCGCACGTTCGCTCGACCTGCACTCGCGGTCTCTTTCTTTCGCTCTCTCTCGCTCGCTTCGCCGACTTCTCCTCTCTACCCTCCCTCATTCGCTCGCTCCCTCTTCTTCCGTCCCTCGCCCCGGCGCGCGCACATATACATTTACATTTATACATACACATATATATATATACAAACACCACGAAACGGGTACGACGCACCGGTTCCTACATCACCTTACCCTCCGCATGCCGGAGGATGCTGCGGAGGATCCTCGAGATGCTGGCTGCACGCGAGCGGAACGTTTTCTTCTTTCGTATATAACTCGCTTTACACTTTCTGTTAAGTTCTTTATAGTTTCTGCACTTTTAACTCTTATTCGGGACCATATGCGTCGCGAACTCAATTTTTGTGCTCAATTTTTCGGGAACTCATCGAGATTTCACGCGTGAGAAAGAGAGAGTGCGATCAGCTGATTCTTTGACAAAGAACCTTTCGCAAAATGACACGCAGAAGCTAAATGTTACTATATGTATGATTCTCGTCCTCTTGACATAGTCGCGGCTTTTCGCGATAAATATTTGTCGAGTCGTGTGATAAAGCATCAGATAAGATATATCGCATTATGTATACTTTAATTGCAACGCGCACGATAAAGTATGTTGGCAAACAATCTCGCCGAAAAATTATCATACTCATTTTAGCTATCTCGTCGATAAAAATCCTAATATATATATATATTAATATTCAAATTAAATATGTTTTGTTAGCTTTAATATGTTACATTTAATTTAAATATTTTTAATTAATAAAATAGTATTTAGTTGAAAAGTTTAGTCAACTTAACAATGTTTTTCCAGTGTTTAATTTACTTATTTATTATGCGACTCGAAATCATCCCATATCAAACTGTAAAATTGTTCCTTTCAGGAAACTGTCTCGTCTTTTTTTATTTATATCCGATGAAACGAGATAAACATTTTTCCTAAAATGTATGCAAGACATATATTCCACTTTCTATATCCTGAAAAAGATCAACCACGTTCTCTCGCACAACTGGCACGACGAGAGTCGTTTATTAAAGCTATATAAGAATCATCAGTTTTTGTCGTCTTTCCGCTAAACAGGGTCAACGCCGGAGAATTTCTCGACCGATCTCCTCTCAACGTCGCTAATTGCTCCTTTAAGCTAATGCTATCGCAGAGAAATCGTTTGCGATTCGCCGGTACTTTCTACGTTTCACCTTAGGATTCCCCGCTTTTGGACGAAAAAAAAAAAAAAAAACTGTCGAATCAAGGAAACGAGAGAAACTCGGTGTGTGTATGCGTCGGTCATTGCGAATACATATATGTAGTTTACTCTGTCCAGGTGCATGATGAGATGGACTCTCCGCGATTGTTCATGTCATCTGCAGCGGGAGCAGGAAGAGGGAATACAATGTCGGCGCGTGAAAGAAAGGAGTTTTATTATGTGCTCTGCGAACTGTGCCCCGGGAATAAATAGCGATCGATCGAGAGGAAAGGAAGTCATTTAAGCCAAGTACAATAATACAGACAATAACGGAACAAATAATCAGGAAACATAAAATAAAAAAAAAAAAAAGAGATAGTTTCCTGAAAGGAACAATTTTGCAGTTTGATGATGATTGAACAAGTACAGAAAGAAATGTTTCGTGAGAAATATATGATAATAATAGTGGATTAATAATAGATATTATTTAACTGAGGTTTTATTTGCTAGAATAGAATTTCTTTTGTTTCGAGTCTCATAAATAAGTAATTACACTGAAAAGAAATTTGTTAACTTGACCAATAGTTCAATTAAATATTATTTTGTTAATTGAACATGTAGACATATTTAAATTAAATATAACATATTAAATCTAATGAAACGTACAGAGAGAATTTTCTTTTAGAATTTACCTGTAAATCATCACCCTGATAATCGTGGGACAATGTGATATTGGAAGAATTTTTAAGTTCTATGATTAAATATTTATCACAATAAAAATATTAATATTTACAATAAGTTATAAAATATGCTCGATTAATTTTATTATGTGTTACGTAGTAAAATTCACTATGTATAATATTTTTGTTATGCTAAATATTAATCAGAAAACTCTTATAAAATTCTTACAATCTAAGAAAAATTATCTCCGTGTATATTTAACTTAAATACTAATACATGTCTAATTAACAAAATAATAATTTAGTTGAACAGTTTAGTTAACAATTTTTTTCAGTGTACCTATATAGAAAAAATTTTAAATTAATGCATTCTGAGTAAAAAAATCAGATAAATAAGTAAAAAAAAAATAATCGTTGAACATAGGAGTGCATCGTAATGAAATGCTTAAATATCTGCAAAATTACTTCGCGCCGAAATTAAAGAAAGAGAGAAAGAGAGGAAATCCGAGGATAGAGATAGCGATAGAGATGCAGAGGAATCAATGAGTGCTACTCCACGACCTCGCGGCTCTTCTCTCTCCCTTTTCACCATGCTTCTCTCTCCTTCTTCCTCCCTCATTCACGCTCTCCGAACGTTGCGCTCCCACCGTGTTCGCCCTATATCGAGTGTCCAACCCTCGAAGCGTGACCGTGACTGTGACTGTGACTCTCCGAGCTCTGTGAGAGAGAGCGGAGTGCGCGTGTCCGCGCCGCATCGACGCCGCCGCCGCCGATAGTTGCATGTGTGCATTTGTACTATATAATATATATATATGTGTGCAATTCGCTGTAACGGTGGTGCTCGAATGCATCCACCGTTAAGAGAACTTGTGCTCGAACGCCCGCATGAATGAAGCCCGTATGACACCGTCGCGGAAATTAAGAATCACTATCGGGATTTATTATCGTCGCATGAAGCCTCTCGAAAACTTTCAACTTCGAAATTAAAAGACTTTTGTAGATCCAAGAAAAGAGGGAGGGACTATATCCAGACGAGGAAATTTTATATTATCTGTGTAATTAAAATAATTATGATAATTATATACACAACTTGTATAATAATTATATAACACTGTATTGATTAATATATAATTAATAATGATAAAATTAATTTGATATATATCTAATTCAAAAATACCGATAATTGTCTTTGATAATTGAGATTTGATTAAAATGTACGAGAGAAAAATGATATCTACTTATAATTCTCAACAGAAATTAAATTTGGAATAATTGGACTAAAATATCATTTAATGCATTTTCGTAGATGCAAGAAAAGAGGGAGGAAATATATCCCAGATGAAAAACTTTATATTATCTATGTGTAATTATAATAATTATATGCACAACAATTGTATAATAATTATATAACAATATATTGATCAACATATAATTAATAATGCTAAAATTATTTTGATAAATATATATTCAAAAATACCGATAGTTGTCTTTGATAATTAAAGATTTGATTAAAATATATGAGAGAAAGAGGATAATATCTGCTTATAGTTATCAACAGAAATTAAATTTGAATAATTAGACTAAAATATCATTTAATGTATTTTCAAAGAGAGAGAAACTTCCGTTCAAAGCTCGAATAATTTTGTGAAGTTGATGCGATATAAATTTCCGATTCACTCTCTTACTTCTTTATTTATAAATTAATTTATGGACCATCAATCGCGGTTTTGCGCGATATCACACATCAATATATGACTTGGCTAACCCTTCGGCTTGGTCAACAAGTGTTAAGACCTTTCATCGGCCACTTGAGCGACACTCGGGGTCGTCTTACCGGGCTGGCTCTTCATATTCCTCCGACACCCACCGACAGACTTCTCTCGACTTTGACCCTTAATTGCGTCGGTGCGAGGGAACACCCGGCTCTTCTTATGCTATCAA